TCTGAAAAAAAAAAATGTTTTGGAGAAAAATAAATTAAAGAAGATTTGCCTGAGCATTACGTCCGAATTCCTTTCCAAATTTGAAATAAAAATAAAATACCAAAAACAAATACTAATAATAAAAATAAATAAAGATAAATAAGAATAAAAACAGAATTAAATTTAGTGAGTGCGCGAGCATGTTTTCAACACCGCCATCTTTGGGGATTTTTCATTTTGTTTTGGCACAGCTAAATGCCCTGAAAATTTACAGATGTGTACTTCACATAATACAAAACCCAATAAAAAAGTTTCACAAAATAATAAAATTGTTTAGACCCCGAACTAAAGTGAAAACAAAAAGTAAAAAGTGAAAAACAACGTCGGCGAGCACGTTTTGACACCGCCATCTTTGGCGATTTTTAATTCTTAGTTGGCTGAGCCAAATGACTTGAAAATTTATAGGCATGTACCTTGCGTCATAGAGAACTCATAGAAAAAAATTCAGAAAACAAAAATTATGTTTAGGCCCCGAAATAATTTTTGGCGGGGACCAAACGCGGTCGGGTTCTGGCCCCGTACGGGACCCCGAACGCCCGAACGTACGGAGGTCCGCCCGGGGGCCTCCGTACGTACGGGCTGGTAACCCTGTATATATATATATATATGAGTCGGTGAAACTCCGACGAAACATTTTGTCACAGCCCCTCATTTGTTGTCCTCTTCTCTCTCTCTGCCTACGGTTTACCGGGCAGTTCTGTTTGTGACGATATATATATTTTTATATATAATATATATATATATATATATATATATATATATATATCCTCTTCTCCCTCTCTGCCTACGGTTTACCGGGCAGTTCTATTTGACGATATATATATATATATATATATATATATATATATATATTTTTGTGCACACACATGCTACACACACACACACACATACATAGACACACACACACATGCTCTACACACACACACACACTTACACACTTACACACACACACACACATACATACAGATCCTACACACACACACATACACACACACACACACACACACACACACACACATACACACACACACACACACATAGTCGTGCGGGGGGAGGAGAAAAAAAGAAGAACAAGGAAGGGTAGGTAGGAGAGGAAGGTGTATGTAGAAGTAGAGAGGGGTAATCAGCTTTGTCCTCCAGACCCATGGTGCTCCTGTATCTGCACGGGCCATCACGCCGAATTGTAGGAAGAAAATTGTAGCGGACCCACCAGGTGTGGTGCTCCGCTAGTG